AATGAGATTAAAATTTCAGCTGTTAATGAAGTCATAATTATGGGTGCTTTTAATTTCAGGCATATAGATTTGGAAATTCTAGCCAAACCATGAGGGAGAAAGGTTTTTGAAAACTGTTCAGGATGGCTTTCTTCACCAGTTAGTCAAGGAACCAACTAGAAACAGTGCTATTTTAGATTTATTGTAAACTTCAAATACAGAAATGATTGAGAGGGTGGAAATTGGGGAACATCTGGGTGCAAGTGATCATTGTTCTATTAGGTTCAATGTTTTGCTGCGTATGAAGATAAGGAATAATGACATTTTGGTTACAAGTTTTGAAGGGATGTGACAAGAATTATCTATTATGAATTGGGTATCTTAGTTATATGGAGACACTGATCAGATATGGAAAATATTTATATGTTCAAGGTAAACATATTCCTTATAGAAAGAAAAGGATAGCTGCAAGTAAAAACCAGGTTGGCTCACAAAGAGTTTAAGAAATAAAATTAAAGAAAGGTATAATAAGTTTAAGAAATTGAAATTGACTGGTATGAGACTTAGAAGATTATAGGAGATGAAGAAAGTTTGTGAAATAGGAAATTAGGACATCAAAAAGGATGTATGAGAAAAAGGTTGGCTGAAAATGTAATAATTAATACTAAGGATTTCTTTAAATACATTAAGGGTAAAAAAAAAAAATGTTTGGATGGGAATAGGACCCTTGAGGGTTGATAAAGGAAGGCTAGTATCTGATGATTATGAGAGGCTGAGTTATTAAATTTGTGAAGATTCAAGCTGTATTCTACATCTTGATCAGTTGATAAATGGAAACGAGATGAAACAAGATGACTGCATTAAGAAAAAAATGGGAAGTTTAAAAAAATGATAAGGCTTCTGGGCCAGGTAATATTTCCCTAAGGGATCTGAAGGAAGTTAAAGATTGGATATGTGAACCACTTACAACTATATTTTATTAGTCCTTGAATAGTGGGCAGGTACCAGAGGATTGGAAGTTAGCTAATATAACTCCTCTTTTCAAGGGAGGTGATAAAAATTATCCCAGTAATTATAGACCCATTAGTCTTGCATCAGTTATGGGAAACGTTTTGGAAAGTTAAAAGATGCTTTGCTAAGTCATTTAATTTAGCAAAGTTTAGAATTTTATTGGATAGTCAACATGGTTTCACTAAGGGAAAATCTTGCCTTACAAATCTTTTGACATTCTTTGAAAATATTACTGCTTATGTAGATGAGGGTAAGGTGTAGATTTGGTGTATCTGGATTTTCAGAAAGCTTTTGACAAGGTGCCACATAAAAGGCTTGTAAAAAAAATGTAACTCTATAGGTGTGGGAATAAGTTAGCAAATCGGATGGAAGAAAGCAGAGGGTTGTTACAAATGGAGTTCAGTCAAACTATTAATGTCACCAGTGGGGTACCTTAGGGCTCAGTCTTAGGACCTTTGCTGTTTTTGATTTACATCAATGACATGGATGAAGGAATAGTCAATAAATTACTTAAATTTGCAGATGATATTAAGGTCTTGGGTGTTGCTAGCTGTGAAGAGGATGCTGCTGATTTACAAAAGGATTTAGATCATTTAATGAGTTGGGCAAATAAATGGAAGATGGGTTTTAATTATAATAAATGCAAGATAATGCATATGGGTTATCATAATTTTAATACAAAGTATAATTTGGAAATATAATTTACAAATATCAGAGAATTTATAGAAATAATAAAAAACACTAAAAATTATTATCATATCTTGAATAAGGACGAGAGGTTGGTAAGTCAGAAAGTATGCAGATGGCATGAACTTCTTTAGTTCAGTATGTAAGTTAAGTAGTCGCATGATTAGTGGCTTCAGTATATATGATTTACATTGTTTTTGATTTTACACTCTCAAGGCTTATGTAATTGTACATCATAACATGTGATGCCTGTTTTCAGACTGCTGACAGCCTCAGAATAAAGTTCTTAAATTATGTTCTGACAAAACACTGATCATTTGAGCATTTTAATTACTTAATAATTTTCTTGGTCATTTATTTATTGTGCTTAAGTAGGGCATGACTAAAGTAACAATTTTCTATGGAACCCCTAACATAACAATAGATAGAGTATTTAGATTTTCAGTTACTGTGTGGGTTATTCTATTTAGGAATAGCAATGTAAAACAGTTTCTTTTAAACTTTAGTGTAATGTTTTCAGTGTCGCTTGTAACATGTTTTGATTTCCATATATTTTAAATGTTTTGTATAGCAGGGTTTTAACAACAATTTCTTTAAACATTGAAAGAGTGAAACTTTCAAAACACAAGTAAAATACTGTGGAAGTGAGTTTATGATACTGATTATTTTCACAAGATATGAATATCAAAGAATGAGAGTTTGCCATTTTGTTCATTTTCTACTTTAATCCTTACAGTATAAAGTCAAAACAATCTAATAATATTGTTGCACTAATTTCAGAACATTTTTTTCAGTGTGTATGAGTTTATTAATTAACCTTTTCGAGACGGGTCATGGGTGAAAAGCCATGTCATCAGGTTTGTTGACTCTCATTTACAATTTTATTGAACTATTATTTCATGAATTTATGTCAATAAGTTTGGTATCAAACTGTAGATTATAATTCATTTTTTTCCATCATTACAAAAAAAAAAAACAGGTGAACTGCAT